GCTCTCCCCCCACTCCTCCCCAAGCCTGCAGAGATCAGATCGAGTCTGATCCTCTCATTTCTTGCAGCTACACGATTGAATTCTTCCACAAACTGACTTGACTCCACACCAGGTTCTTGCTGTGTTCCTCCTCAGTGGCAGTTGGAGAAGGTTTGCCTTTAATCCCCACCACATGCCACGGAGGAGGCAGCAGCGGTTTCGTGCGTGTGTCACGTGCCTCTGCTGGTCCTTGTGATTTGGATTGAACAGAAGCTCTTGGTTTTACCTTCTGACTTGCTCTTTGGCATGTCTTGCTGCTTTTTGTTCTCTGCCTGGCGTCTCCTTTAGGGGAGAACGGACGCTGTTATCACCTCCTTGTAATGTCTCTGTATCAGTTTCTTCTGAAATGGGCTTCAGTCCCTCTCTGAGTCAAAGGAGAACTTCTGTTTGTGCAGATGGGAGCCAGGTTGGGCTTTTTTACTGTTATTGTTATTTTTGCATGCTCATTTTTGCTAAGCCTACAGAAATGGGTACAAAGGGAAAGCTGCTTTCCAGGCACCGTCTGAAGGAAGCGTTCCTGCTGTGTTTGGAGATGCAGGCAGCTTCTCTGTTCAGTCAGGTCTCTGCTTGAAGAGAGCCTTTGATAGCCCTTCTTGCCTTTGGTGTGTGTGATATGTTCCCAGTGGTTCCTGGGTTTTGTTTTTAAACTCTTGAATTTTAGTTGCTGGCAGTTCTCAGTCTGGAATAAAAGCTGTTCATATTCAGTTGTGTTCTGGGCCAAATCACAGGTGGTCGTGAAACCAAACCCCCCCTCTGCATTAATTTTTGAGCAATGTTATTTTCACTTCTGTAGTTGAAGTAGATCTGTTGGTCTCTGGTTACATCTTCCAGGTGAGACCAGGATCATTGGAAGCTTAACTATGGATCTGGAGCTTTTTTCCTTTGACTTCTCTAGCACTGTCATCACCTACCTGTGCAGTGGGTTTTGCAGATCAGTGCCGTGTCCCATCAGTTCAGAGCCCCCCCCTAAGACCCCGGCAGCCTTAGTGGATTTGTGGACTACAGGAAATTGTAGCAGGATTTGGAGTTTTTCCATTAGCACTTGATTTATGCACTTGCCTGAGAAGAAACAAATTAAATAGAAGCTGATTCTGATGGGAGCCAAATGTTGGAGAAGTTTAAGTCTAAACACTTGAATTTCTTGAATCTTTCTGTGGCCGTTTGTCTCAAACACTTGTGTGCTTTAACTTGGAGTCCTGAGATGCTGTTCTCACTTTTTGGATTCTTTTTCCCCCTTGTATCTTCCAGCTGTCTGAGACGAAGATCTTCACTGCCTCCAATGTGTCTTCAGTGCCTCTGCCTGCTGAGAATGTGACAATCACAGCTGGACAGAGGTGATAGCCCGTAACAATGCTGTTTACGTAGGAAAAGTGCCACACAAGTCCCAGAGCAATTTGCCATCTCAGACTAAACCTTGCCAGCTAGCTAAAATGCAGCCACTCTGAATAAGCTGAGATGGATTTAAATGGAAAAGTTGAGTTAGGAGTTTCCAGGTCCTAATCCTTGATTAGAGTTTTCTTAGGCTCTACTGCTGCTTCTTCAGATTTGGGGGCATTTTGCTGTGTTAAATTAATGGAAGACATGCTTTAAAATAGAAGGTCGTGCAGGATTTTGCTTGGTGTCTGTCCTTTTGAGGTTGCTACTGGCTGTTGTGAGTGAATGCTCTGCAGATTCATTCATTTTGTAAAGTAAAAGCTATAGATTGTGACACCGGAGGTAGAATAATGGAAGTGGGGGTGTGTCAGAGCTGCCGTTAACCTCGGTGGGTTATCTTCTTTCTTCACCCAGAATCGATCTTGCAGTCCTGCTAGGGAAGACACCCTCTTCTATGGAGAATGAGTCAACAAACCTGGAGTCATCCCAGGCTCCTTCCCTGGCCCAGCCACTGGTGTTCAGCAATTCCAAGCAGAGTGCTATATCCCAGCCTGCCTCTGGTAACTCCTTCTCTCACCACAGCATGGTAAGGAAACACTGGTCTCTGCCAGCACGCGGGTTTTTGCCAGGTGTTGGTTTCCCTGACATCCTCTTTCTGCATTTGGACAATATGGGAAATAAAGTTCTGACACCTGCTCGCTGCTTGTGGGTGGCCCAGTCCTCCACTTGGATGATTTGCCAGTCTGCTCTAAATACAGAGGCATGAAATCCATTGCTTAATTAGAAATAATTGGGATCATGCCTCCGCTGTTGCCCGTCAGACTTGCAGCACACGCTTCTTTCCTGCTCAGAGGAAAGGAAAAGCTCCTGTGGTCCAAGGACTTGCAAATCCAACAGTTTGAGAAGTGGGACTGGCTGGGAGTTTGGTGTGGGGTGAAATGCTGGCATCTGCTGACAGGTGAAGGAAGGGGGCATTGAATCTGAATCAGGAACGTGCACAGACCTGGGCAGAGACTTCTTTGTGTAACTTCAGCAAAAGAAAGAAAAATTGTGTGCTTGATGGTAGCCCAGGAAGGATTCACAAAACCACCTCAACTGTAAAGCCGAGTTCTCCTGGTGCTCATCTTCTCTAGAGCAACCGAATGCGTGTGAATAACTTAGTACTCTTTTAAAGATCTTATCTGTTAACTTTCTTTGTAAGCCTCCATGACACTGTAAAATGCCACGGGTTGAGCAACAGATAAATGTACCTGCGCTCACCTGCGATAAAGGCTGTGAGAGAAGCATGAGCTCTCCTTGTGCATCTGGAGCCCAGGAGTATTCTACCTCTGTGCTGAGGCACCCAGAGAGGAGCAGCAGAGTACAGAGTGTTCAGGCTTATATTAAGAGATATCTCTGTCCTCTGTGCCCTTCCAAGCCAAAGGAGACGTTGACTTTGTTATTTCATTGCAGGTGAGCATGCTGGGGAAAGGGTTTGGAGATGTTGGAGAGGCCAAAGGCAGCAGTACCACAGGTTCTCAGTTCCTGGAGCAGTTCAAGACAGCCCAGGCTCTGGCTCAGCTGGCTGCTCAGCACACTCAGCCTGGTGGGAGCACCACTGCTTCTTCCTGGGACATGGGATCCACTACGCAGACCTCGTCTCTTGTGCAGTATGGTAAGGAAAAGCAGGGTGGCTTCCCAAAGGGGAGCAGGTTCCCACAGAACTGCAGACACGTGCTGCAGGCAGCAGTGTGAGGGATTCACTGGAGGGCCGGATCACAAGTTCACAAGCAAGCTGGAGAAATTAAAAAGAACCGTGTGTGCAAGTTTGTGAGAGTAAAATGTAATGGAGTATCTGAGTTTTTCCCTGTTCCTTTTATACTTAGAACGGTTAAATCCGTCAACCAGCTTCAGGGCC